GAGGCGGGGCCTGTAGGACAGAGGCGGGCCCCGAAGGACAGAGGTAGGGCCCAGGAGGACAGAGGCGGGGCCTGTAGGACAGAGGCAGGGCCCAGAGGACAGAGGCGGGGCCTGGAGGACAGAGGTGGAGTCTGGAGGACAGAGGCAGGGCCCGGAGGACAGAGGTGGGGCCCGGAGGACAGAGGCGGGGCCTGGAGGACAGAGGTGGAGTCTGGAGGACAGAGGTGGGGCCCGGAGGACAGAGGCGGGACCTGAAGGACAGAGGTAGGGCCCGGAGGACAGAGGCAGGGCCCGGTGGACAGAGGCGGGGCCTGTAGGACAGAGGCGGGCCGAAGGACAGAGGCGGGGCCCGGAAGAGAAAGGAGGGGGCCCAGCTGTGACAGGCAGCAGACCCATCGCTCCCCACCTGCTCAGAGCCCCTGAGGGCCTGGGCCCTGGTGCTGGCCGCCCCAGCCATCCAGCCCTTCCCAGGCATCTCCCGACTGTTCTCTGCTCCTGGCAGTTTCCACTGCTTCTCTTGGGGGGTCCCACGCTGACTTCTTCCTTGAAAGCCCTAAAGGCCCAGCACAGGAGCCACTCCTCCCAGAAGCCCTCCTGACTCCCCCAAATGGCCGTGTTGGGCCTCCCCCAGGAGCAGCACCTGGGGCCACACCACCTGTTAACGGCTGGGCCTCTACCCCAAAGAGTAACCAGGTGGAATTCCAGAGAAGACCCACCTGTTTGTTGGAAGAGAGACCGGAGGCCACTGGGCACCTCGCCACCCCCTCACCATGGCCTGGCAGTTAGCCCACTCCAGTTGCCTCTCTTAAAAAGAAGAGGTGATCTTGGCAAACCCTACATCCACAAAGCCAGTCAACAGAGGCTGGATTGCTAGATTCCAGCAGCCTTGGCAAGTTTGCGCGGCTTGCAGTGAGACGCCTCCATATCCTTGGGTCTTCCCGTGCAGCCCCCGTCACACATCCATAAAGTGAGGCCGGCAGGGAGATTCCCACACAGCAGCACAGTGCCTTCACCCGGTGAAGGTGGACGTGGAACCCGTGGAGGCCACATGAGGCTGTCCCTTGTGGCCCAGGGGCCAGGGGTGTCCTCTCCATCCACAGACGAGCCTGGCCAGAGGCTGCAGCCGCTGTGACTCTCCGTCCTCCCTCACAGAGAAGCTGGACCCTGAGTGAACCCCGATTGTCTGAGCAGCACGTGGTCCATCACAGCTTCCTGTCCGATCCTTGTTTTGCCATCACCATGGCCAGGCGAGGAGAGAGGACCCCTTTTGTAGTATTGGTGTCCATTTGGGCACCCTGGTCTGTAACAATCTCCAAAGGGAGGTCTTGGTCAAAGCTTGGATTTAGGGGTCCTTCCGGCTTCCGTAGGGGTAGACATCTGGCGCCATAGAGTTGTCAGGTGTGGAGCTGAAGAAAGCCCCCGAGTCTTGGCTCCCTGGCCTGGCCCTCCCGGTCACCCAGGACGCACAGGTCCCCCGAGGAGTTGACCGAGGCTCCCCCAGACATCTAGAAGCTGCACGCCTCTGTTATTGTGTGCTGTCACGTCAACTCTGACTCAGAGTGACCCTGTCGGACAGAACGGAACAGGGTTTTCTAGGCTGTAACCTCTACAGGAACAGACGGCCAGGTGTTTTCTCCCACGGAGCAGCTGATGGGTTTGAACCCCCGACCTTTTGGTTAGCAGCCGGGTGCTTAGTCATTGCACCAGCAGGGCTCCCGCACCTCCTGGACCGGCTGGACTAGATAAACAGCTGCCAAGGAGTCGACATGGCAAGCCCAGTGTGTCACAGGAGAACAGGCTGATTCTCCCAGGCTTTCCTCCCAAGGCGCCTCGGGGTGGCCTTGAACCCCCGGCCTTCAGATCAGCTGCCAGGTGTGTTCAGCATTTGTGCCCCTGCTCAGAACAACATACTCACAGTGAACCCTTTCTTCTCTGGCTAGAGCTGAGGCTGCACCAGGGTCCGACAAGCGGTGCGAGCGTGAGGAGCCCTGGAACCTGTCCCTGGAATAATTCGTCAAGATGACGATTGTCTCGGATGTGCGAACAGAGTACTTGGAGCAGGTCTCCGCCATCATCCTCAGGTTCAAGCCCGACAGGTGGAACAAGATGCTGGGAGCCGAGGAGAACGCCGCCATGTTCATGGAGTTCCTGGAGAAGCCCGACGTCTCGGTCCTGGTGATGGCACTCAATGCAGCCGGCATGATCGTCCCCTGCCTGGGCTTCCCGGCCTCCCTCAAGTCCAAAGCCATCTACTTCATCAAGACGGGGCCTGTGCACATCACCAGGGACAACTACAAGTCCTGCCTGCTCTACGGGGACATCAGCCCCACACCCGTGGTCCAGCTGATAGCTGTTGTGGAGGAGGTGGGTGCCGGCCGCCGAGCTGGGCTGGGGCCTGGGCCTCGGGGGCCCTTGGTGCATGGTGGAGCCCAGGTGCTCAGGTGTGGTGCCCGCAGCCCCTGCGTCACCTGGGCACTGGGTCGAAACGCCTGCTGAGTGTTACCGCCATTTAACAGCGCTCCCTGGTGATGGTCCCAGACACCCTGCCCCAGAGTGGAGTCTCCATCCCCTTGTTCTCTCTCTTTTCTTTTTTAAATTGTGATTTGGGTGAAACTTTACAGGGCAAATTCACTTTCCATACAGCAATTCACATACATGTTGTCTCATGACATTGACTGCAATTTACCCCAATGCAATTGCTCCCCTCCCACCTCCTCCCGATAGTTACCTCTTCCCGGTGTCCATCCCTCCATGTAATCCTGCCCCCGAGCTGTCTCTCTCTATGCTTAGACCTCCCTGCTGTGCGGGAATGAGGCCCTGCATACCACAAATGGTCTGAAGTTCGGCTGCTAACCAAAAGGTTGCACGTTCAAACCTCCTCAGAGGTGACTTGGAAAACAGCCTACTCTGCACACATGGGGTTGCTGTGAAACGGAATTAACTCCATGGCAACTAACAACAATCACGCTGGAAACAGTGCCTTGTGGCACAGAGATAACACCCAAAACCCACTGCCCTGGAGTGGATTCCGACCCACAGCGCCCCTTGAGGGCAGAGTGGAACTACCCACAGGGTATACAAGGCTGTCAGTCTTCACAGAAGCAAAGCCCAAACCACACCCACTGCTGTGGAGTCAAGTCCCACTCACAGCGCCCCTAGAGGACAGAGTGAAACTGCCCACAGGGTCTCCAAGGCTGTCAGTCTTCACAGAAGCAAACTGCCTCACCTTTCTCCTACAGAGTGCCTGGTAGGTTCAAACTGCTGATCTTTCGGGCAGCAGCTGAGTGTTTTAACCACTGCACCACCAGAGCTCCTACATGTGGCATAAAGATAGGTTTTCCCAGTTCTGAGATCTTGAGTTAAAAAAAGGAAAACCAGGGTGCTGTTTTCGGCATCTTTGCGCCATCCTGCCCCCTCCTTGGAGTCATTCTTGGCTAACGGGAGACACCTTTGGGAAGTCAAGCCAGTCATCTCTAACATGGGGACACACATCCATACTTTGAGCCAATTCATTAGGAAGCAGGGCATCCCTTGGCGTGTCTACCTTAGGAGCATGGGAGGCCCCCGAGGAAGCCCCAGCTGTCAGCTAAGCTATTGGCCAAGAGCCTTGGTCTCCCCTGGACGCTGCCTTTGTCACTGCAAGGACAGCCATGCTGTGGTTGCCCAAGGAGCTGGTCTAAGCCCCAAGAAGGAAGGGCTGCTGCTTCCCAGGGCTCAGGGCACCGAGGCCCTCAGACTCCCCGTGGGGACAGGGCCCTGGCAGTTGCCGGCCGCGGAGGCCAGACGGGACCAAGCCAAACTTCCTTGCAGATCCTCTACTCCCTGTTGAACCAAAAGGAGAACATGAGCGGGTGGCCGCGGGTGGTGTCCGAGGACATCGTAAAGCAGGTACACAAGCTGAAGAATGAGATGTTCGTCATGGGGGGCAAGATCAAGGGCAAGACACTGCTGCCCATCCCCGAGCACCTGGGCGGCCTGGACGGCACCCTGGAGTCCATGGAGAGGTAGGCGCTCTCGCCCACAGGGCCTGGCTCTGAGCTGCACCGAGCAAAGGGGTCCTGTATCATGAGAGTAACGGGACACAGGAGGGCAAAGGGGTGTCACGGGGCGGAGCTAGTCCAGGGTCAAGGACACAGGGGCTCAAGAGGAGGGCGTCGGGAGCCCCGGTTCCAGCTCAGCGGCAGTGAAGCCTAGAAGAAGCCCCACTGCGAGTGTGCACAGCACAGGACGCAGCAGGGGAGAGAATGCTGGCCTTGGAAGATGTGGTCCCCGGCGGAGGGGAGGGCATCGACGGCCGTCCAGGCGGACGGACAGAGGAGACTCAGGAGTGTCCACACGGGCCCCTCGGGTCTGCCGGTGGCCATCTCCCACTGTTCCACTGTGAGACGCTTGGAATGGACACTGCTGTGATCATTCCCCTCGTCTGAGGGTGGCTGGCCCAGGGACTCACTGGAGGGCAAGTCCTCCATGGACCCTCCACTAAACCAAAAAAACCAAACCCGCTGCCACCAGTCGGTTCTGACTCATAGCAATCCCCTTTGGGTTTCCGAGGCGGTAAATCTTCATGGAAGTAGACGCCCAGTCTTCCTTCCATGGAGTGGCTGGTGGGTTCAAACCACACAACCTTCTGGTCAGCGGTCAGATGCCTTAGGCACTATGCCACCACAGCTCCTTGCACATGTATAATAAGCAAACCAAACTCACAGCCATAGTCAGATCCGACTCGCAACGACCCCTCCTTGGGTTTCCAAGGCGGTATCACTCCGAAAGTAGATTGCCCAATATTCCATGTATAATAGGACTTAGCAAAATTGGTGAAGAGTAAAAAGCTTGTAGAAATGGTACATTTCTACAATGAGGCGTCAGAAAGAAAGTGGTTAAGATGACATTGATGGGGACACGTTCTGAACGAGTGTTAGAAGTTCTAACTGAGTCAGGGCTAACCCTAACCCTAACCCCAGTATGTGCCCTGGGCTGTTCCAACAGGAGCCACCAGGAGGGCCTGTCCTGAGAGTGGGGAGGACGCCAGGGCGGGAGGCCAGGCTTCGTGCTGTTGGTGGGCAGTCAGCTGAAGGCAGGGGGATGGGCGAACCACTGCCACACCCGCGTGACACGGGCAGCTCCCTGCGTGTTGTGCTTGGCAGGATCCCGCGAGCCCTGGACGACTCCCTGCTGCACGCCATCGAGGCCATCATCATTGACTGGTCCCACCAGGTCAGGGACGTGCTGAGCAAGGACTCGGCCCAGGCCCTGCTGGAAGGGCTGCACCCGCTGCCCCGCGTCGAGTTCGAGTTCTGGGACGCCCGGCTGACAAACCTGAAGTGCATCCATGAGCAGGTGACACACCCGTTCCGTGTGCCAGCAGGGGGCTAGGCAGGCGGGCACCGCCGGCGACTCTGGGCAAGCGCTCAACCTCTCTGTGCGGCCTGGGGGAGCAGATGACAGCACCGGGGTCGACCCTGGCTCACGAAAACCCCAGCACCTCAGAACCACACGCTGCCTGGCCCCGTGCCACACCCACGATCCACTGCAGATAGGACGGTTGGGATTTTCCATAGTTGGCCAGGCCGTTCTTCCTGGTCTTTCTCAGCCTGGAAGGTCCGCGGAAACCTCTGCAGTGTCCCAGCAATACAGCGTCCCCGACTGACGGCCGGGGGGAGGCTGGGCATGCGGTGCGTCGGCCGGGAACCGAACCTGGGTCTCCCGCACGGAAGGCCAGGGTCCCACCACCGAGCCAGCACCGCGCGGGCCCAGGCTGTAGGGAGCTGCGCCCACGGCAGCCGCAGGAACAAGTCGCCCTGCCTCGGCCTCTGGGACTGTGTGTAGGGAGGCTGACCTTCTCCTCCTCCTCAGCTCAACAGACCCAGAGTGAACAAAATAGTTGAGATTCTGGAAAAGGCCAAAAGCTGCTACTGGCCAGCCCTGCAAAACGTCTACGTGAACGTCACCGAAGGTGAGCCGGGGGCCCTCGGGGGGGTGAGCAGCTCCCTCAGCCCCTCCTGGGGAGCGAGGAGCCAGGGCCAGTTGCCGTGGTGTTGGCGCCCACACATGGCGGCCCCGTCTGTGTCAGAGTAGAGGTGCACCCACAGGGTCTCTCGATGGCTGATTGTCCACTGTCGGGCCTCTCCCAAGGCGTCTCTGGCCGGACTCGAGCCTCCAGGCTTCTGGTCCACAGCCGAGCACGTTAGCGTGGCCCCCACCCAGGGGCTCCGGCCATTGGGGATGGCGGGAGATGGGGACAGCCGCACACCGTTGATGAACGCCTGTCCTGTGCAGGGCTGAAGGAAGCCAGCGACATTGTTCTGTATTTGAAACCTCTGCGCATCCTGCTGGAGGAGATGGAGCAGGCCGACTTCACTTCGGTATGTGGGGCTGTGCTGGGCGGCAGGGCAGGGCTGGGGGCCCCTCGCTGTGATCGCTGTGTGGGCCTGGGGGTGGCCTCTCCACGCCCGTTTGGGAGTCCTCTCCTGGAGGCTGAGCACGGGCCCTGGGAAGGGAGAACGGGTGGGTTGCCACGAGGTGTGGCTGGCCCTCTGTGGCTCACCCGGCCGGCTCTCCCAGCTGCCAACCTTCATCGCCAAGGTGATGTACACTGTGTGCTTCATCTGGGCCACGTCTGAGCACTACAACACGCCGTCACGCATCATCGTCATCCTGCAGGAGTTCTGCAACCAGATCATTGACATGGTAGGGGCTCCCTGGGCCTCCCTGCCTGCTCCCCGTAGTGTCCAACCGTGGGCCACGCGGTTGGCACAGCGATAGCCAGGCCGTGAGTCTTTCGGTCAGCAGCCAAGAGTGTCCACTGCACCAGGATGTCCAAACTAAGCCAAACTCCCTGCCGTGCAGTCAGACCGAACTCATAGCGACCCTTCCTTGGGTTTCCGAGGTTTATCTCTACGGAAGTAGATCGCCCTTCCTTCCAAGGCGTGGCTGGTGGGTTTGAACCACCAGCCTTCTGGTTAGCAGTCAGCCCCTATCAAAAACAGACCCCACGAGCCGGAGTTGCCTTGATGGCAGCAGTTTTAATTTGGGGCATAGCTGGGGAGAGGGTCGAGGTCACAGCACAGTGTCCTGCAAACACCCAGGGGTCAGCAGGTGGGTGGGGACACGTATCCCAGGGATGGTGAATGGTCGGAAGCTGCAGACTGGGGCCCCGGGGCTCCTGCTTCCATGGACAGCACAGCCTGCAGCTGGCGCCTGCGGGCACCACCCAGGGCGCGTGGCGGAACTCAGCCTCTAATTGTCTTCTGCGCAGACGCGTGCTTACCTGAGCCCGGAAGAGGTGCTGAAAGGCTTGCAGGGCGAGATAGAGGAGGTTCTCAACGGCATCTCGCTGTCCGTGAACGTGCTGAAGGGGCTCTACCGGACCTACGACTTCTGCTGCGCCAACATGAAGCTCTTCTTCAAGGTACCGCTGGACTCACGGAGCGGGGGCAGGTTCGGGGCCCAGCCTGGGCCACAGCCCAACGCGCTCTCTCTCTCTCTCCCCACCAGCACAACAAAGAGCCTGTGCCATGGGAATTCCCCTCCTCCCTCGCGTTTTCCAGGATAAATTCCTTCTTCCACCGCGTGCAGACCATAGAGGTAAAGACGGCATGTGGTTGACAGGACGGCCGCACGGACTGCCCTGCTCTAGGGCCACTGCCATCCTTGTTGCCGTTAGTTGCCATGCGTCGGCTCTGACTTAGGGTGACCCCGTGCACGCGCAAGGGGCTCGGAGCGACCCCGAGTGTGCGAAGGGGCTGGGGGGCCATGGATGTGGAAGGGACTGCTGTCTGTCGTGGGCCATCTCCACAGTCGCTGGTCTGCTCACGCCCTTTGTTCTGGTTCCCGTGCGTTCTGAGTGTCTTCGTCTTCCGGCCGCATATCCGACAGTGGCCTGATGTCTGTGGGCTCTCCACTGACTCCTTTTTGGAAGTCGGGGCCCAGACCTCTCAGCCCAGCCTGTCTGAGTCTGGAACTCTGCTGAACCCTGCCCACCGTGGGGGACCCTGCTGTGTGTGGAACACCACTGACCCAGTGCCGGGCATTACAGCCACAGGCAGGCCACCACAGGATGACGAATGGACGAGTGGGGGACCTCCACCTACTCTCCTGTAAAGTCATCTCCCAGACGAGGGAAGAACTCAGCCAAACGTCTCTGTTATGAGGAAACTGAATCAGGGGAAACCAGGCCATGGGGCAGCCTCCTCCATGGCCACGGCTGTCAGCCAAAACCAGAAATGACCCAGTGGTGGCGCCTCCCTTTTCGCATGCCCCTGTCAACAAAGAGGTGGGTGGCGGATTTGGAAGCCCAGAGGCACCACAGAGAGCCAGTGGCTGACATGGTAGCAAGTGGAGACTTAGCGCGGACCCCACAGGAGCGCCATTTGGGATGTGGGGTGACACGGAGCAAATGGATGTTTTTAAATAGATTTGAGATGGTCTCCTGGGGACCTGAGGGCAGAGCAACGGCATTTTGGTTTTGGTTTGCAAACTGCTGTATGGTGTGATCTTTTAGAAACACAGTCTATACACATACTACTCCTGTCATAAAAAAAAAAAAAAAAAAAACCCTTCAGAAGCTAAAAAAAAACAATTTGGGATCTGGAGTTAAGTTTATCTAAAAAAAAAAAAAAAACCATACCCACTGCTGTGGAGTCCATTCTGACCCACAGCGTCCCTAGAGGACAGAGTGGAACTGCCCACAGGGTCTCCAACCCTGTCAGTCTTCATGGAAGCAGACTGCCTCATCTTTCTCCCAAGGAGTGGCTGGTGGGTTTGAACTGCTGGCCTTTTGATTAGCAGCCACACGCTTTAACCATGATTCTGCCAGAGCTCCTTCATATCGTAAAAGGGGTGGGGATCCTCCTGGGGTCCCTTAGCACTGATCTTACGATGGGCGCCCACTAGCAGTGGCTTCCAAAGGGCCTGATTCTCACCCAAACCACTTCGGATCTGAAATGTAACTCCCAGGGTGTGCACCGACACATGCAGACCCCCACCAAGAACATGGAGGTCGCGTCAGGCTTCTGGCCAAGTAGCTGTTGCAAGGGGAGGCTGGGAGCGTTGCTCTGGTCACAGGTTCAGCAGGGGGCCCGAGAGTCAGGCTTCTCTGTTCCAGAAACAAGGCTGGGAAGAAGCAGGTGGGGGGAGTGGGGTTAGAGGGAGGGGGACTGGGGACTAAACCAGACGGCTTTTGCTAACGTCAGCCTGATCCCAGGAAGGGCCCTTAAGGAAGAGTAGGCTGGCAGCTCTGCGGGGGAACTGGGGTGAGAGAGGAGTCGCCTGATGGAGGGGACAAACGGTTCAGCTACAGGAGGAGACAAGGAGTGGGGTCCCGTGCAGAAGGGGGTTCTCGGCAGGGAGCTGTTTCCAGACCACGAAGGGTGGGGATTTCTTTGCCCTCTCGGTCCCGCAGGATCGTGGGGCTTGGGTGCAACGTGGCCTAGCCAGGCATGAAGTGGACCCCCAGAAAGTGTTGTTTCTCTCCACCAGGATCTTTACAAGACGGCCATCGAGTTTCTGAAGCTGGAGAAGATTGAGCTCGGGGGAGTGAGAGGGAACATCTTGGGGAACCTGGTGACCCAGGTCTACGACGAGGTCTTTGAGCTGGTGAAGGTGTTTGCCGAGTGCACATACGACCCCCTGGATCCCGGAGATTCCGTGAGTCGGGCGCCTTGGCTGCCTTAGTGAGGGACACGTGGAGGGTACGTGTGATGAGGACAGTCCCAACGCTTCAAAGATGCCTGGAAAACGCTGCACACTGCTGTCGCCATGGAGACGAGTCTATCCAATTTGGGGTCCACCCCGAGTCCCCGCCCCAGGCCTCTCAAGGGGAAGCTGCCCTGCTTTGCACACCCGCGGCAAGGTTACACCCGAGGCAAGGTCACACCTATGAAGAGGTCACACCCATGGCAAGGTTGCACCTGTGACAAGGGCGCACCCATGATAAGCTCACATCTGTGGCAAGGTCAACCCGTGGCAAGGTCGCAACCGTGACAGGGTCGCACCTGTGACAGGCTCGCACCCGTGACCAGGTCGTACCCATGGCAAAGTCACACCTGTGGCAAGGTCACAACTGTGACCGGGTCGCACCCGTGACAGGGTCACACCCATGACAAGGTCGTACCCATGGCAGGGTCACAACTGTGACAGGGTCGCACCTGTGACAGGCTCACACCCGTGACAAGGTCGCTGTTTCAATTGACTTACAGAGTTTTGATGATGATTATGCCGACTTTGAGACCAAAATCCAAGACCTGGATAGGAGGCTGGCCACCATCTTCTGCCAAGGGTTTGACGACTGCCCCTCGATCGAGTCCTGCGCAAAGGTGTGTGGGGACAGGGCTGAGGTGGACACAGCAGCATTTGGCCCTGGGTGTCACAGACAGTTAAAGGACCAATAGGTTAGTGGTTCAAACCCACCTAGAGACACGTTGCAAGGGAGACTGACCACTGACTGTTGGAATATCAGCCATCGAAACCCCACGGTGCACTTCAGCGCCGACATGGGGCTCCGTGACAGCCGCTGTGGTGCCTGGTTGCCCCTCAGAATGCCCCCAGGGCTCTGGATGGGCAGCTCTCCCTGCCACAGGGAGGTCTCCCTTTAATGGCACGTGAAAGCCAGTGGCCCAGTCACTCGATCCGTCAGCTCTGTGAGGAGGTACACCTGGGGCCCCGGGCCGTCTCCGCACCCTTCTTTACCCCTCCTTGGGGGACTGACTCCCACTGACCATCAGCAGCAGTGCTGAGACCTTGAACAACCTTCTAGTCTGCCTGTCCCATTGCTGCACTTGCAAGAATTCATGTAAGCTACTGACAGGAAGCCACATGCAAAGGTCTCTCAGAGCCTTGTTGTTGTTGTTGTTGTTGTTATGTGCCGTCGAGTCATACCTGACTCATAGCGACCCCTCCCTGGGTTTCCGAGGCAGTATCACTACGGAAGTAGGATTGCCCAACCTTCCTTCCGAGGAGTGGCTGGTGGGTTTGAACCGCCAGCCGTCTAGTTAACAGGCAAGTGTCTTAGCCACTATGCTACCAGAGCTCCCCAGAGCCTTGTTAGAAACTGCAAATCCATAGTGCATTTGGTTGCTCCGAAGTGAAACCTTGCACCCGCTGGCAGCCACGCCCCATGTCTTCCCAGCCCCCTTCTCTAGGCAACCTCCAGCCTGCTTCCTGCCTCGGCCGGAGATGGCTCATGGCACCCTCATGGGACAGAGCAGAAGGGCCCCAGAGGGATTCCTGGCTGTGGCGCTGAGCCCCAGGCCTTTTCTCCTGTGGAGCAGCGGGCCAGTCAGCAGCTGAGGCTTAATCACTGTGGCCCCAGGACTCCTCTCTGCAGATGTCCTATTCTCACGTGGTGTTTAAAAAAAAAAAAAATTGAATTTAAAATTTTTCAGACTGAGAAATTTCACATAGAAGTCCAGATTTCCACCTTCTCTGGAAAAAGGAGACCCAGCCTCACCGGACACACACTCCCTCCCTCATGGCAGCAACCGGCCACGTAGCCGCTCTTCCCTGTAGAGAACATGAGCAGTTCGTTTGCCACAAAATCTGCCCTTCTAGGCGCTTTGCTAAGTGCTACGTCATCTCATGTAATTCTTACATCAAAACCCACCACACCCACTGCCATGGACTGGATTCCGACCCACAGCGCCCCCAGAGGACAGAGTGGAACTGCCCACAGGGTCCCCTAGGCTGTCAGTCTTCATGGAAGCAAAGCCCAAACCACACCCACTGCTGTGGAGTCCATTCTGACCCACAGCGCCCCTAGAGGACAGAGTGGAACTGCCCACAGGGTCCCCTAGGCTGTCAGTCTTCATGGAAGCAAAGCCCAAACCACACCCACTGCTGTGGAGTCCATTCTGACCCACAGCGCCCCTAGAGGACAGAGTGGAACTGCCCACAGGGTCCCCTAGGCTGTCAATCTTCATGGAAGCAGAGCGCTTCATCTTTCTCCCAGGGAGCAGCTGGTGGGTTCAAACTGCCAACCTTTTGGTTAGTAGCTGAATGCTTTAACCACCATGCCACCAGAGTTCCTAATTTTCACATCAAAATTTGCTAACTTTTTTTTATCATTATCCATCCATACCATGTCACCAGCTCAGCTGGCTCAAAAAACTATCCACAGCCACACAGCCAGCCAGCAAGTGGAGGAACTGGGACCCCAGACCAGGTCTCTGCTTGGGTTACTCCAGAGACCCTGTTCTGAACCACTGGGCCGGAGGGGCTCCCATGACCTGAAGACACTCACAGCCCAGGGTGCTGGCCCCCTTCCTGGACGTGTCAGCACTGGCACCCCTCGGGCTGAGCTGGGGGAGCCCCCCAGCCCTGAGCACAAAGATCTGTCCAGTGCAGACACCAGGGTGCGCCTCTGCCTGGTAGATGTATCCTTAGGAAGCACACGCAGGGGTTCTGAAGCCCTGCCAGCGTGGGGTCAAGTCAGTCCTCGGGATGGTGCTCTAGACAAAAGACCAATGAACGCAAATGCCGTCTTGTGTTCCCTTCCCCCAGACAGCCGGCCCACTCTCCTTACTTCCTTCAGGGCTCTGAGGAAATGGCACTCACCAGAGGGCCCTTCCTCCATGATCCTTCACCATG